AGGACAAGACAGTGTATAACAGGGATGAAGGGGAGAAGCAACCAGGTAGGAAAAATGCATATACAGGGTGCAGAGCAGCACATCTGTGTTTATCCTCCACTCATTTTCCCATTTTACCTGCAGGTTCTGGATGAGTAGCCATGTGAGTCAGAAATGTGAATCACACCCCGGCTGGCCAACTTCACATCCCTCTTCCCTCTCCTGCCTCACAGTCTTTGTCCCCTCCAGTCCATCTCCCCTGCCCCACCTCCTGTCACCCCACCTCAATTTCTGCATGTCTGCATCATTCTTCATCCTTTATAGGCTTCCTTCTGCAGGCTCCATATACAGCATTTACTTCTGAGTGCATCTCCCTACTTGTGCCCATAGATGACTCAAAGTATGTTCTCCCCATCTTTTATCTAGTCATCCTATCTCTGGGAATTCTTTTTGCTTTTCATCCTTTCTACTTCCAAACACATGCTGTCAGGGAATCTCTCATGACAGAACTGTCCATCAAGCACAAATCACGCTTCAGAATGCATATAAGCAATGTAAGTAAAGCTTGGAAATCTCTGCAATGTGTGAACAGACACTAGAACCTGTGAAATATATAAGAATAGTGGCTATCAACTCAAAGGCAAGAGTTGATTTATTCTATTGGCTATAATACAAAAAGGTCCAAAACCTTAGAGCACTCATCTGGACACAGCAACGGAGAACACAATCCCACCCACAGCTGATTTTGCGAACTGACTTTTAGACATTAGATGGGAACTTATATAGCTTTAAAACAGGATTATTTAAATTTAATTCTTTAGAATGTAGTCAATAACAGAAAATATATGTAACAAATGTCACCTATTAAAAAATTAGCCTAGGAATTACCATCTGTTTCTCAGTAGATAAGATGTCCTGGTTTTACTGTATCAGCTATATATTATGAAGTTATTTAGATCTATACAAGATGGAGAATTAATCTGTCTGATGGTTTCTACAAAATAATAATTTCTAGAGTATTTGTGAACCCAGTACCAGAACTGACCCTTGCTCGTTTAAATAAAGGTTTTCATAAATGGCACTTAGTGCCACATGAAAGGGCCTATTCCTACAAAATATGAGTCAGCCATGCTGGCAATATCTTGATATACTTGTCACAGCACATGTCACAGTTGAGACAACTACAATACACAGAATATCACCATATAATTTCAGAAAGCTTTAAATATCCCCATACAAAGTAATACATACCTCATCAGAAGGCTGTAAGCATCTACCATTTTTGTTCTTTAGCCCAAACTTTTATACCCCTCATGTTGATGCATTGCACCTGTGTGATCTCTGTTCCCTTTGGTGATGGTCAGTGCACCTGGGCACTCCCTGGCTCATTGCTGTCAGTGCTGCTCACCTGCTGCTTTCAGCTGAGCCCACTGGGGATGAGGCTGGGCCACAGCCCCAGTCCCAATCACCACAAACTGTGTGCCTACAGCTTGAAATGGTGGAAAACCAGCAGGGGGATGGGAGGAATAGCTCCTGTCATTGCTACTGGACTTGTTCACTGAACACAGCAGCTTTACATGTTTACACTAAAGGGCTTTCTGGATAAGAGAGAGAAATTGTTTTCCTAATCGAGGAAAGATATCTCTGTGTATAATAAAGAAACAGGGGATGTGAGATATAAGATAAAGTCACTTTTTTTTAGGCTAGCTGTTAAGGATATGAGTAAGGGGAACTTTTCACATTAAATTGAAGCAAGTACATTTCCTTCTGTTTATTAAGCACAGGTGTGTTAGACTTCATCTGGAAGTCTGCTGTCAGTTATGACAATTCAGTCTGCCACCTAAGGACCTAACAAGCAGAACTGCTTGCAGTCCCCTAGAGTTAGGCTGCTTCCCTTCTGCTCTCTCACATAGGCCTGATTTTGTAGTCCAGGAAGTGAAATCAGCAGTAAAATACAAAAGTACAAAAGTACCCATAATTTCTCTTCCCATTTATTTCCTTGAAGTAGTTTATCAGAAGCCCAAAGAGGCAGGTCAGGAACAGAGCCTGCAGATCAGGACTAGTTCTGCTGTGGCTGTTGTTACAGCTTGGTGAATAAATACACAGCTACTCTAATGAGGGATGTGGCAATTCAAGCTTGGCACTCAAATGTAACCTGCTGATACCAAGGAAATGTATGTATTTCTGCAATTAAAGAATACTGCAGAAGCACCAGACTGGTTTCCCACACCAGACCACATGTCAGCATACCAAGAAAATAAGTCCCTAAGTGGAACAAAATTGCTTTAATTTATGTTCTAACTCTAAATGTTAGTTTCATGTTTGTGCAATGCACTAGAAATAACAGAAAGTCTTAAAAAGACTACTAAAAAGCATCTTATCAGTCTTTCTGCTATAGCTCAATGATATTCTGATACATGCTAAGATCGCAGAACTGGGACATTGATGCTCTGTAATAATACTAAGAATGTAGATATTAAATTAATAACAAATACATGCAGGTTACATCAAAATAGGGTGTTTGGATTGGCCCACAATAAGCAAGAAGGGAATTTCCTTCAATAAAGGAATGGAGGCTCTAGACAATTAGCCAAGTCTATAAGCAGCACATGGGGGATTTCTGCATTTTACTATTGCTACAACACGTTTACTTGAGCATTGGTCAACATTGCAAAATTGTTGCATATTTTGGGTGAGATAAAGAAAACATTTCAGTGGTCAGCAGAGTGTAATGAATACTTTTAGGGTTAGGAAAGATTTTAGTACTACCTTCTTTCAGGGCTAACCTACCAGTGTTTAAAATGTCCTGTGAAAAAATTTAAACACCTTTACTTTTGGAGCTATAAAGTCACAAGAATAGAAGAGGCTGTAACTTCTCTAGCAAATAGCGTACCTGAGTGGAACTTCTTCCAAACGTATTACATATATGGGGTGGTCCAGTCGCCGTCTGGGAGAGCAGAAAAGCTGCTCCCAGAGGGACCAGGAATTTTCTAATTAGAAGAGATAATGTTTGGCTGAAGCAAAACTGTTAGAAAAGGACTCATATAGATCTGCTCTGGAGCCAGTCAGAAAAGCTACCCACAATTTTCTCACTACAAAAATGCAAATAGGCAGGCCTGAGTCAAAGTGCAGAAATACTATTAAGGATTATTTGCAAACATTTGCCAGAAGCAGGAATGTTGTAATGGTAAGCATTTACGTGGAGCTGCTTAGGCTCCCTTTAAAACAAGTATCCAAATGAAATGTGCCTGGAAACTACCTGTCTCTCCACAGGGGCCATTGGGGGAGCCTAGACTACTATCTTTGGATGAGCACTTTAGTTTCAGGTTAAGTGATATCTGTTATGTCCACCATCCAAATTTTCCTGTAAAACAGGGTCATGCCTGGTCATATTTCCTTTGGTATTTTCAGCACTGCAGCCAACAAGGGATGATATACTGCAAGACTCAGCATCTATGCAGCTGAAACAGGACTTTCTTATTGAAAGCATAGAGCTTAGTACAGCTGTTGTTGCTTCAGGATCTCAGATGAGCTTGTCATTGGAGGTGGTGTTTTGCTTTAGCCTTAGATACACCTGTATAATTTTAATTAATTTTCAGTCTGAGAACATATTCATCAAGTTGATCTTAAGATATCATGGCAGTAGAAATCACTCTGTACAAATAATCTTTCCTGCAGGAAAGATTTTTCCAGGAAGAAAGTGAAGAGAGTAGTGTTAAGATGCTCTCTCAGCTGGATGGCTGAGTGTCTTGTTTCTGGCTGCAGCCTGGAAGGTACTAGAGGCAAAGCAGGTGTGTCTGGGTAGGTCAGAGCTTCAACTTCATAAAGAAAGTAACTAAGTGTTCTAGGAATGCTGCCCTGCCACCTCTGCTTTTGGAGCTGTAGCCGTGCTATGAATGAAACTAGACCTAATAGATGTGCAGTCTAAACAATAAAGCTTTTATATCAAAGGAGTCAAGCAGAACTTAACCTCTCCAGGCCACCTCAAAAATTCTTGTGTTTCAATGCAGTGGATATGTCTCTTACACCATACTCTGTAAATGTGTCAATGAACCTCTTGAAACAAAACAAACTATTTTCAAAGCCCCACACAATCAGATGGAAAATATTTTTTATTGATGAACTTCTTGTTCCCTTACTCCTCACCCATATTCCTGTTCTCACATGATCACTTCCACATGGTTTCAGGATATGCTATTAATCATCATTTATTTTACTTTATTCCAATATTACACAACAGGAAGCATGTTTGACAGGACTATTCAGTGAAATAAAGGCCAAATATTTGATAATAAGTACAGTGTGTAATATTATCCTGAACAATTGAGTATAAATACAGATATAATGGGGAAAAATATTTCCATTATTTCCATTAAACCGTTTCCTTCTAGGCCAGATTTCCACAAGACAGTTTTAAATAGCTATCAAACCAAAGGCATGTACCACCTCAGACAAATAGGAAAAAAATATCTCCAAGGCAAACACAAATGCAAACACAGAAAGCAGTTGTTAGATATACTTAAAGAACATGTTCTGTCATGGTGAGATCATCAGAATGGCATGAAAAAAATCAAGACAGGAAATTGCAAAGAATAATGTATCAAAGCTGAGAAAACTTCCTCCATTCTTCATTTCTCAAAAACTTCTGCTTATGGTTTTAAAAATGAAAGTTACCAACAACAAAGTCTGAAATATTTGTTCTATAGGTACACAAAGTACTATGAAAGTATTCACTTATAGCAGGTTTTGTATAAAATACTACTTTAGAAGTGAAATGCGGACCTGATTTTCTAGGTGATCTAAGACCCTTTTTTTTTAAATACTGGGAAATAAGGAATCCTGAACTGAATTTGTCATATTAGAGTGGCTCAACTTGCTAAATTCTTCACTCATGAGAATAATCTCACAGTAATTAGAAGCTACTGTCATCATGAGAGATGACCAGTTAGATTAGATTTGCAAGTTGCACCAAAATACAATATTGAGAAGATACTGAGGACCTTGAAAACATGTTGTTAAATTCAGTGCAAGGACTCCACACTCTTCATCCTAGGAAAAAAATAGAAGAGGAAAGAAGATTGTTATGAGGTTATTTTCTCTAAAGTGTGAAAAAGTTCATTGCTATATAGTTAGTATAAAATAACAAATCTAACCATTTGTCTACAGCTTGTGTACTTGATTTGTCACAGTTCAAACAGTGCTTATATGAAAAAGTAAACAAAACCATGATACTTTTTTTCTGAATGGTAAGGGAAAAGCCAAGGGAAAAGCCAAAGGCTGCCTCAAGGCAAGGATGGTAGCCCCTTCTCAGCCATGATTTGCAGAGCTTTTGCAAGACTGCTTCTTTTCCCCATCTTTGAACAAACTTTTTCAGACCATCTCTATTTTCTCTGGAGTTCTATTAAGCTCTCACTCTTCTAGGTTGGCTCTGAAAGGTATTCTTAAAGGGAAGAGGATTTTTAAGGGCTCAGGGTCTATCAAATTATACCTCCATGGGCTGCATTGTTTACTGACTTGTCTATAGCCTAGAAGAGGTGTTTTGCAAAGGACTGGGGCAATGAGAGGCAGCACTGGAGCAGCTGAGCAGACAAATCAGTGAGAGCACAAAGGGATCTGATCTGCATGCAAACGTCAGTGAGAAAGCAGGAGACAGGTGCTAATAATGTGAATATCATGAACAGCACATCTGAGCTTGTTTCAGGGCTCCTGAAGGTTGTGTTGTTACTTTACAAACTTCTCACTTCCACTAGTTATTTGCCTCCCTCTCTCCTCACTTTGGCAGCGAGGCAGCTACCTCTGATTCCAAACTAAACTGCAAAGAGAGAAATCAAGAGAAGAGAGCACAGAAGCAGGGAATGTCTTCAGTGGGAGAGTTAAGAACCTGATATTCCTTCTAGCTATATACAAAATTCATTCAGATATTTCTTCTGTGCCTGTAACAAGGCCAGTGATATGGTTTCAAGATTAAAAACTCCATCCATTCCCACAGATGTTTTAAAAAGTAAATTAGATGGATACCTGTGTGTCATGGCTTTTGATGGGTTTCCATCACTGAATGACTGACCATGAAAACCTGAGGGAACAAGTTCAAATATGGGTTGCTATTTTGTTTTCATTATGATTCACATATTTATTCTCAGAGTAACTGATATAGGTTATTGTTTCATACAAAATACATGTTTCTTATTTTATAGGGGAAATAATGTCTCAAAATACTTGGCTTTATTAAATAGAATCCAGAAAAATGGTCAAAAGCAATAGATAATTTGAAAGGAACACAAAGTATTGCCTCCAAGTCAATGCCATTAGATACAAATTCTAAAAAAATCCACTACATTATTTTCCCATTTCCATCCTTTGTGGAGCAAATAAGACCAAACCATTGTAATTCCCAAAGTACATCTACTTACAGAAAAATGAAATCCATTGTAGAATAATAAATACATGCCTGAAAGCTCTTCTTAAAGCCTAGGTAAAGAGCAGCCTTCCTGATGGTTAGAAACAATGACGTTTTCTAATAGATATTGTTATTACTGGAATCTTGTTTTTAAATATCATGAGTCTTCTAGACACACCAAAGGTGCTTGGTATCTTTAACATTAACACTTAACGTGCACATTTCTATTTTACAAATATGTACACAGTATTTATTTTCACTATGCCATTACAAGATTATTTGTCATTTGCTTTGACACTTGTATAAACCATATTGTCACGGATTACAGAAAAATCTCAAGGTTAATATTGTCTGTACTTTTACATGGATGGCTTTTCTTAATGTCTTAAGCCCAAACACAATAGCATCCCAGTGTAACAATTATCAACCTTGGTGACTCTTTTAAGAAACTTTCATCACATCTTGATTTTAAAAGGTTAGTGTTTAAGAAATACCTTTGTTATAGAAAATATGCGTTTAAAAATTCAAAAGCCCTCAGTAGTTTTACTGTCACTGATACATTAAAACCTTACACCTGAGAAGCAGCTTGTGGCTTCCAATGAGTCTTTAAGAACACTGGAATTATTGCAGTGAGACAGACCAACACAGTCCAGTGTCCCACATCTGACACTGACTTGTGCCATCGTGCTTACAGGGAGGTTTTGGGAACACTGGTCCACAGATGGAGATGGATTTATCTACCAACTAATATAGATCACATTATCCCAAAACCCTAAATTATGTCAGGATTCATGAAGCATGAGGTTAACGTACAACAAACACAGTGATCACATATTAAAGTTCTGATATTGATAAGTGCACGTTTTCTCCTTTTTCTTTCTGAATCTCCATAAATTCCTAATCAGAAGGGAAAAAAATAAACAACCAACACACAAACATACAAGCAAAACAAAAACCAAATCAAACAAACAAACAAGCTTGTGACAAAAAGTTCACTATTTAAATATTTAAATCAAATATTGTGCCCAACAAGTTCTTTAGAGTAAGCTTTTGATGTTCTGTTATTTTCATTTACTGCACAGACACATTCTCTCCTACTATGAGGGGCAGGGAGCTTCCAAGACTGCCATCTCTAGAGCTTTCAATTATTTTACACGCTTTTGTCATACTCTGCCTTTTTAAATGGAAGATATGAAAGATGAAAATGCATCCACACTGTATGAACCACTATATGAATTGTGTTTCATACAATTATTACATCAACATACATTATTAAATCAACAAATATTTAATGATTAAATAATCAACACCGATTTTTTAATTTATTCATCTTGAGTGGGCTTGTTACAAGTTTTTCAGTGGAGAAGAAACCTGAACTGGCACTATACACAGGAACTACACAGGATTACACAGGAACTACATTCAGACTACAAATTCAAGCTCCCGTCTTTTTATTATCAGGCTTCCAAATCTAAAGCTTTGGTCAAATGATGGGTGTTTTTAGACAACAGGAAAGTCTGTCACAAGACTTACTATATCTACAGTGGACTAGAAGGGGATGTTGGTTGGTTGTTTGGTGGTGTGAGTTTGGAGAGGTGTTTTTGGCAATGCTCAGGTTGAGGCTTCTCTCAACATGATTCCTTCTGGACTTTTTAGTTCTAAATTAGTCAATCCACTGCTGTACTGTTCACCTTAAACTCCACAGCCTTAGTTTGCTCTGAACTCACTAATTTCTACAACACTTTTCAGGGCTTGGAGGTTTTAGAAAATTCTGGCTCCATACTGTATCTGAGTGTATCTCAAATCATAATAATAATAATATCCAGAGGCAAACTTCTGTTTGCTGGGAAGTGGAGGGAAATGCTGCTGTGCCATTTGCAGAGGGGGAGAACTGACAGCAGGGCTGTGCTGCAGTCACTGCAATGGCAGCAGTGTGTGCCTCTTGCCAAGGTGTGTTTTTAGCCAGTTACCTCATGTACTGACACCAAGGTAAATATAGGTGTGACACACAGAAACTGGCATGGGGTGGAAAATCCACCCAAGAAGCAGAGGCAGTAGCCAGCCACACAAGTTTCCCTTGCAGAGCTAATTAAAGTAGCTCATGAGGTATATGAATCCACTGTCTATAAAGGATTCTGATCATATATAACTCTCGTGCACACATCTACATTCAGTCAGGTGAATCCCACCTCAGTTTCCCAGTGAAAACACATTTCATCTGAAATGCTTGCTTCCACAGAATCAAGACCCAATGCTTCTTTTGTTAAGATGCCTACTTACCACAGAAGATATCACATATCTGCAGTGGAACTGAATAATCTACATCTGTTCTCCAGCCCTTTCAAAAGAAAGAATTATTCCCCTTTCAGCAGAACTGTTACTGAGCATTTGTGTTGACAAAACAAGGCTGCTTTATTAGTTTACTCACGTGACTGCATTTTAAATCTGTTTTTAAATATACACACATAGAGATTGCTGGTCTAGTGTATATTAAGTGAGTTGCAATAATTTTTAGGTCTTTAAGTGATAGATCTAATCATAATTTTTGTTGTTATTGTTGTCTGATAGATAATATCTTATTTACAAAATAAATAATTTATGCAGGAAATTATCAGTCTCCCCACCAAATTTTATTTCTCACTAGGGGAAGAGCTACTACTGTCATTACTCAGAAGGCTTTTGCCAATCTCACTTTCATCTTCCCTCTTTCTTCCCAGCAGCAGAATGTGAAGCTGAGAAGGGCCTTCCAGGGCAGCTAATGGAGCCTCAGAGCTCCACTCTCATTTCTCTCAGTGTCTGCTGAGAACATTAAGTCCAGAGAGGTATAAACCTATCAGCTTCCTGCTCATTTTCTATTAACAAAATTTCTTAATGAAGTTCAGCTATGGAAATAGTGTGCAGAAATGTCAGAAATCATTTGCTCAGTTCTACTTTTCTGAATGCTAATTCTAGGACACCATACACTTGCTGTGCTGTTTATTATATGCCTCACCTTTTCTAGTCAATGTCAATTTTTGAAAATTCATCAAAATTTACTTGGATCTTTTCTCTTAATGGAGGAACATATAAAGACAGAATTAGCAATATTCTGATGATATCCTTTTATCTGCCACTGACAAAGGATCAAGATCATGGAGAGCAACTTCTCAGTTAATTAATGTAATCTCAAAGAAAAGTGGTGGCAGCATACCAAGCTATAAATAATGCTCTTTGCCAATTCAGTTTGCACAGTAATCAGATTTAACTGGGAGGATAAAGCAGTGAGAGTACCTGCTGGTTTGCTTGGTGTTTTAATGATTTGTTTATTAGATTATTTTGTACAGAGTACCTGGCAAAAGCAAGACACATACCTGAATGCAAATTGTTGACCCACACATTTCCTGTGACATAGTGATTGAAATAGAATCTCCCTAATGAAAAAAAAAAAAAAAAAAAAAAAAAAAAA